TCCTCTCACTCTCTCACCCACAGTGGACGGAGCCATTGCAAGACTAGGACAAGAGGCTGCAGCCAATGCACGATGGATTGTTAACTTTACCAAACCTTGTCCAACGTGCAGGTCGGCATAATCTTTACTGCATACAAGTTGTTGCGCTTTCCTCCCCCCTCCCTCTTCTATATTACTACCTCACCTCTCCTTCCCTCTCTCTTTTTTCATTACACTACACTTTTGTCATTCCTTCTCCAATCCTACCATGCAGTTCCCCCATACAGAAGAACGATGGTTGTAATCACATAACTTGTAAAAAGGTGAGCTATTAAGAAATTCGGAAGCGAATTGAGCCCATTTCATTCTGACAACCACCTCCCTCACAATGCACAAATATAGCGTTTAGAGCAGTTTAAAGCATTCCCTCACTAGAAATGTGTTGCAGTATCGTGTAATGGTTCATCTGTGTTGTGTTGTGTGTGTGTGTGTGTGTGTGTGTGTGTGTGTGTGTGTGCACATGCAGTGTGCGTATGACTTCTGCTGGGTATGTATGGACCCCTGGCACCTCCACAGCTACAAGACCGGCGGCTACTTCACGTCAGTTCCACTCTGTGTTTAATGTGAATACACCTGAATACACCAGTGTAAAGTGTAGGCTACCCCTAATAGCCAACACTTGATGACTAACACTGTGTGTGTCCCTTCATATTGCGCTGCCTTGAAGAATGCTCATGGGGTATGTGGAGCTTGATGAAGCAAACCCTCCCTCCCTCCCTTCCTCCCTCCCTCTCTCCCTCCCTCCCTCCCTCCCTCCCTCCCTCCTCCCTCCCTTCCTCCTTCCCTCCCTCCCTCCCTCCCTCTCTCCCTCCCTCTCTCCCTCCCTCTCTCCCTCCCTCCCTCCCACGCTATATCCAGGTGTAACAGGTTCAAGGAGCAGCAGGCAGCCAGAGAGAAGGTGGAGAAGGCAAGGAGGGGGATGATGGAGGACTACACAAAGGCAGCCAAGGAAGAAGAGACCGGGAAAAGACAGAGATTTGAACACTACTTCAGTCGATACAGCAACCATCTCAACAGCCTCGAGGTAACGGTTGCTCACAAACAATGTTTTCATTCAGTAGTAACAGAATTAGCATTGACAACCTTTTTGTATGGTAAAAATTTTTCACGCCACCTTAATGTATGGTTGTGATGGGCTTACGCATGCAATCAACGTGTTGTGTGAACTCATCGTAACACGTAGTGTCATGAGATATTTTGTCTCCCACGACACAAAGTTACACTGTAGAAAATACCATACGTCATGTTGGCCATAGGGTAGTATGCTACCATTGTTGGCTGCATTTGGCTGAGGTAATTTACAGCTGTCTTATGATGGTGACTACAGATGGAGTTGAATCTGCTGCAAAAGTCGCAGAGGAAGACGACAGAGCTGGCGATGCTGGGGCGGGTTCTAGAGAAGAAAGGCAAGTCCTCCTCACCTACCCGAGTCATCTCTTTCTTCCGCTGCATGTCATCACTTTTTTACTCGTCCACTTTTTGCATAATCTATTAGTTTGTATATACAGTGGAGCCTCTGATGAAGGACCCTCCGAGATAGGGGTGACCTCTCTACTAGGGTGTTTGCCCCATAGTGTCCCTTGTTCGGAGGTTCCACTGTATAAGCTTCCCGCTACAGTGGGACCTACGATAGAGGACACTCCAACAAAAAAGAACACCTGTCTACTTGGTTCACACCGATACATACCAATACACTGGAACGAATGAAATGCAATGCATGTTTTGGCAAGCGAGCACTCAATTTTCTGCACACATATTTGGGAATCATTACAGTATGTGCAGTGGCAGTGCCCGTCACATATGAAAAATCCCACATTGAGACGACTAGGTAGACTCACTTGGCTCGCTAATTTGTATTACCTGTATGAATAAGGGTTATAGAGCACGTCTACAATGCATCCCTTATTCAGAGGTTTTCATAATGAAGCTCTGGTAGTTAGCCCCTCTTCCCCTCTCTCTCTCTCTCTCTCTCTATCTTTCTCCTCCTCCCCCTCCTCCTCACTGTCTCCAGTGGCGGCCACGAGAAAGAAAGTGGGCAAAGAAACGGAGACTGGTTCCATTCTCGACGACGACACTCACGAAGCCACAGCAACAGCAGCGGTTCCCGTGGCAACAGAGGAGGGAAACTTTCTCGATGATGTAATTCGTGTCCTGCTGAACGCTCGGAGGGTGTTATCGGCATCATACTGCATTGGATACTTTCTACCACCGGAGAGCATGGACCTTAATGGAGCACATGAAACTCTACAGGTTGTTCAGCGTTAATTCACAAACACAGTTTTTACTGGCAAAACCCTCTAATCTTGACACCAAAGATACATTTTTCTGAGGTCTCCTCTGAGGGCAGTGTCCTTTTTACAAGTTTAACTGCACTCCCCACCCAGGGAAAGTTGGAGGAGGTTCATTAGAGTTCAATCAGGGCTAGAGTTAACTGTCCACTCTAGTGGCAGTCTCCTCACTACATGTAGGGTTCTTTTCAGAAGAGTCTCTGCCCTCTCCCCCCGGACCCAGGGAAAGTTGGAGGAGGTGGTGGAGATGCTGTCGCAGGTGGTCAACCGCCCGTACCTGCGGACGCCGCAGGATCAGCTGCAGGAGATAGCGAGGAACGTGGACCATGTCTGTGAGGAGTACCTCCACGAGATGAAGGAGGTGGCCAGGGCTGCCGCTCACCACTCTCTCGTCATCTTCCAGAAAAAGAAAGAGGACCCTCCTCGTCCCATGAACCCAGAACCTCCTCCAAATACAACGTATGTGTACATAACTAGAGGAATGCAATGCATTTTTGGCGAGCCAAGCGAGCAGTTCAATATTTTGCGTGTGTTTTGCATTGTGTATAGTAGAATATTACGGTATGTGCAGTGCCCGTAAACATAATATAGCGACTCACTAGCTGTGCTCACTTCACTCGCCAATGATTACTAAGAAATGTATTGCAGGAAAAAACTTTTGCCACTTCGAAGCACTTTTCCGCTGTAAAGGCACCGCTTGTCTATGAAAAAAGTGTCACACTTAGAGGCACACTCAGAGAATACGTGCTGCAAATGTCTGCAATAATGCACAATGATTGGCTTTCTTCCCCTCCCTCCCCCTCCCCCTCCCCTCAAATAAGTCCTAGAAGAACCCTGTTGCCGTTGTGACTCACAAAACCTTTACACAAAAACTCCTAAAACAATAAAGTTTAATCGTGTTTTTTTATTGTATTGTGTACATGAAAACATTAGCAACTAGTTGAGTGCATGTAAACAAAACCAACTGAGTTGTGTACGTCTAAAAAACAATTATTGAGTTGTGTACATAACAACAACCGAGTTGTTGTTATGTACATGTTTTGTGTGCTTGGGTGGGGGAGGTTCTTTCTTTTCCTCTGAGCTAGTATGCTATAAACATGTTTTTTCATGTAAAAAACACAACTGAGTTGTGTAAAACAACAACCACTGCAACAACTGAGTTGTGTACATGTAAACAACACAACAACTGAGGCGACAACAACCATTTGCTGCTGCCAACATACAGAGTGTTCAGTGTGCATCGTAACCGGAGACCCACTCCTCATCCTGGCAGAAGACGACCACGCCTTATCGTAGACTCTCTGGAACTATACTGACTGCAAAATAGTCTTCCATCTTCAATGCCCAAGGCCTTTCACCACCCACCAACTGAACAGAGGAGATTGTATAGGACCAGTCTCTTTGTGTGATTGTTATGCTCACATGATCTCAAATTTTTGTACTGATTTTTTATTTTATGTTTATGTGTTCTCAATGTCTTTTGAACAGTGGTTGGTGGTTGATGTGGCTTATAGAAAGCGCAATAGCGGTAATTACTAGTGTGGCAATGTGAGGTTCAACTCAACAACAACTAAACATTAATACCGGAATCGTTGGAAACAGGACCTTTATTTATAGGACGGTTGTCCTCTCTTGAACGTAGTCAGAAAATAATATTAACGTTTGTGACCTCAAATTGTGTTGTAGTGAGAGGGTTATTCTGTTGTGTCCTTAATACTTGGAGTGTCCTTTATCGGAGGTTCTATATACCGTATGCTGCTCTAACACACACACACACACATCATGTAGGGAAGAACTAGAATTTGATCCAGATCTCCTGGACGTAGAGCTGCAGTTATTGCTGGAGTATTTGCGAGAGAGAGGACTGAATATTTCGACATCATAGATGGAAAAATTGATGGTAGTAGTGTATTGATATCTGTGTGTGTGTGTGTGTGTGTAACATGGTTGGTTGCTTCCATTTTATTATGCGAGTTTCGTTAAATACGAGTTTCATTATGGCATGTATATTATATCAAAGGCAAGACACACAACACAATTTCACCAATGACTGTAATCTTTTGTCGAAGGCTATATACCCTGATTAGGATTCTGAATTCATCTCATAGATAGAGGCAGCTTTTGAAAGACGGTATAAATCTATGTGTAGTTGCCTTTGATCTTGCCATACGGCGCATGGTGAAGGTTGGATGTTAGTAGGTTTGAGTTCATGGCATGAGGCGATGCAAGTTAGTGACATAGTGTTAGAGTGGTGTGTGTGTGTAGTGAGTGCTCTATGGAGTCGTGTATAAGTGGGTGTTCTACATGTGAGTCAGGGTGGTGGGTGTGGCCACCAGGAAGTGTGGAGCAGTGATGTCGACCAGCCCAGCCTCAGCCTCTCTCATCACCTCCAGCAGTGCAGTCTCCAGAATTGACTCCATCACAACCTCCACCTCGTCGTCGGGGTGCCCCCTGCCAATTTGAATTCATTGCAGTTCAGACATGTTCATAAGCCACCCTATTTATGTACTATAAATATAGTAGAGATACTACTATAACACCAGCACAACTATTATACTAAACACAATCATTGCCAGATTTTCCTGATCTCCACAAGAAATCAGGAATACGGACTATTGTCTTAGTAAAGTTGTGTCAATCAGTATCAGTGTGTCTTTGTCTACTGACATAATTATGACAGAGTGTGAGACTTTACCTCTCGGGGAGATTGCCTGATGTTTCTTCTCTCCTGTTTTCTTCACTCGTCAGTGATTTCCTCTTCTCTTCTTCAACCACTATCTGTCCCTCCTCGTGTCTCCTTCCTCTTTCGTCACAGGAATCAGATTCTTCCCTCCCTTCCTCCTCCCTCTCACTTCTCTCAGTGGTAGAGGAGCCACCTCCTCTCCTCCCCTCCACGTGTTCCTGGATTCCCTCCCTCCCACGGAGCTCTGCTGTAGTTGGCTCTGCTACTGTTTCCTGTGCTGTAGCTGTCTCAGCTGCTTCGCGAGGCCGTGCTGTAGGTGCAGCCAACTGAGCTGTCTGGAGAGTGGTTTGCTGTGGTGTGTCAGGCTTAGCTCTAGTTTGGTGTGCCGCCGTGGCTGACTGTTGTGTGGCAAACTGAGTGAAGTAGGGGACTGGTTCCTGGGCCACTTGCTCCAGGGCAGTGTGGAAGTCTCCGTCATCAAGGAGCTCCCTGTGTGTGTACAGAGAGAGATGAGTGTCGCTTAATTCCTATACACGTGAAACGGCTCTGATATGATTTGTGTACTGCAGTTGACTTTGAAGTGCAGCAGTATCCACACACCAGTATACACATCCAGTTTGGTAAGGTCCCTATTTTTCATGCACACAAGAGCTCTTCTTGGGGAGGTGTTATTTTTGAAGCACTTACAGAGGAACCCCTCTAATCCAAACACCAAAGGGACAGAAGAAAGTACATATCCACTTAAGTGGTCAGTAGTGCAAGTGCTATTCTTGGGGATAATTAAGTGTATACAGAGGAACCCCTCTAATCCAAACACTAAAGGGAGAGAAAAAAGTACATATCCACTTAAGTTAGGTGTCCTTGTTTCAATGCACCCAAGAGCTGTTCTTGGGAAGGTGCCTACCTGAAGTAAACACCCACACAGTGAATTTGACAAAGTGGACACAACGACTGCGTGCAATTTTTTACAGAGCATCTGGCTTTCTGTATGTATGTATGTATGTATGTACATGGTCTAATACCTTCATGTCTACAACTCAACCACTACATTATTCGTGAGTCGTGCTGGCATGTGTACACATAATAGTTAGTGGCACATTATGTGCAAACATGAAGCATCTCACACTAATGTGATGGGTTCAGAGTTGTTAGTGTGCTCACAATCTGTTTATAAACCATGTTTCGTATATCCCACCCCTATCTTGTCTCCCTTCTTTTTTATATATACTATCCCTCCTTTCTTCGTACCTTGCCATCTCACGGAGGACGGACAGTATCAGGTCCCTCTCAGCCACTCTTTATCTTGAGAGGGGTAGGGGTGCTGGGTGAGAGGGGGAGGGTGTGCGGTGGAGCGACGTGGAACCTCTCCAGATCTCCGTAGAGAGAGGAGTAGTCAGTCAGGGAGTGGGTGTGGGCACTCAGTCCCAGGTGGAGGAGGAGAGGGGTGGGGGGACTGGGAGGCTGAGGATAGAGGGAGGAATGATAATACTATGAGCATCACTTGTGTGTGGGTGTACTTTATTGCAGGGTTGGAACATTCCGCACAGCGGGGCAAACAACATACTATTTTCCCCTAAACTTTCAGGAATCACCCAAGTTGAAAGTTTTGCGATTGGTAAATGTCTGCAACAAGGTAGCAAGGCAAAGCAAACAAGTAAACTGTGCACCCAGGACAACTCCTTTTTTTCAAGGAATAAAAGAAGAAGAGCTGCCCTGGGTGGGATTACAACCCACGACACTCTGCTGTCTAGGCAAGAGCTCTAGCTACCAGGGCAACTCAGCTGGTAGGGGTTCGAATCTACAAAGGCAAACCTCAAACCACTGTGTCATGGCACAGTACACTCTCACTCAGTATGTACAGAGCAGACCGGGGTAATTAAACCACCAAAGACACCCAACTCCAAACTGTATATAGTGAAACTGACTATATGCACCGACACAGACGTTAGATGGGAAGGCATGGCCGCATCCACAAACTGCTCGTCTCACGTAAACTGCATTGTATACCTTGCTTGTGCATCAGCTTGTCAGAGAGGGTGCATGCTGTGCTCTATAATGTACCTGGTCAGTTGATGGTTTTGTTGGTCGTGGTCTTGTCTTGCTCCTGATTGAGAGGTCCCTGCAATAGTTGAGTGAACATCATCATCAGTAGAGCAAGGAACATTTACATGAGCAAAACACTCTAACCACTCGAGCGTATATGTGCTGAGTTTCATGAGCATGAACGCATATATCGGCCGTGCAGTAACTATAACACTTACTGCTTCTTCCATTCTTTGTAGCTCATGTCATGAGGGTGTGCTCCTATTGGAGGTAGAACTTGGTAGCGGGAGCCTCTGAGGTCAGAGTTCGAGGACGACTGTCTGGGGATGGTCTGGGGAAAAACATACAGCAGGGGAGAATTCATCGTAACTAGCGACGCATTTGTTGTCAGTTGGTCATTACATCTGGAAAAATCAGGCAGTTTGTTTTTGCCCCTTTCAAAGCGTGAATTGGCCGTGCAGCATACCACGTGCACTGTGGAGCAGATGAATGTCCAGGCAGCAAACTTTTAGTAGCAAATGTGAGCTTCACTTTTCCCAGACTTCCCTGCAATAGTAATGTCTCTTCCAACAGATTTCATGGAATAGCTGTACACAACAGATGGTGATAACTGCAGATTTATCCTCACACTTTTTTACCCACTGTACACACTCGCGGTGTTTGTGGTCTATTACTTGCAGTTATCTGTGGGAGAATAGATGCGAAGGTCTGGGATGAGAGATCCGCTGCCCGAACACAATGCTACCAAGAATAATGGGGGATAGATGGGGATGAGAGGATTGGATGATTGAGGATTAAGGGGGGGTTAAGGATAGATGGGATGGATGGGGGAGATGATAATAGGGAGTAATGGGGATAGGATATAGGATAGGGGGGATTAAGGATGATAAGAGCTTAGATGATTGAAAGAATCAGATAAGGGTAGGATCAGGGATAGATAGATTTTAGCTGGATGATAGATAGATAGGGGGGATAGATGGATTTTAAAAGGATGGGGGACTAGGGATGGATAGATAGGGAATTAGGATAGATTAGGATAGGATTTTTTTGGGATGATTTAGGAGCGGGGGGATTGGACGGGGGAGATTAGATAATGGTGATAAGGGGATTTGAGATTATTGATGGGGGGGAGATATGTGGATGAGATAGGGGGGGGGATTTAGGGGGGGGATAGGGATTAGATAACAAGAGAGGGATTAGATGGGGGACTGGGATGATAGGGAGGGATAGGATTGGGGAGGGGATTAAGGGATTAGGGATAGATGGGGAGGATTGGAGAGGATAGCTAGGGGGATAATGGGGGAAGGATAATGAGGATTAGATGATGGAGATTAATTAGGATTGATGGGAGAAATCCTCACGTAAGGTGACCCGTGGAGGGAGGGAGGAGAGAGAGGAGAGTGGAGGGGAGGGAGAGGAGAGGAAGGGGAGGGAGGGGAGGGTGAGAGAGAGAGTGAGAGTGGAAGGGAGGGAGAGAGGGGAGAGTGGATAAGGAGGGAGGGAGAGAGAGGAGAGTGGAAGGGAGGGAGAGAGGGGAGAGTGGAAGGGAGGGAGAGAGGGGAGAGTGGAAGGGAGGGAGAGAGAGGAGAGTGGAAGGGAGGGAGAGAGAGGGAGAGGGGAAGGGAGGGAGAGAGAGGAGAGTGGAAGGGAGGGAGAGAGAGGAGAGTGGAAGGGAGGGAGAGAGGGGGAGAGTGGAAGGGAGGGAGAGAGGGGAGAGGGGAAGGGAGGGAGAGAGAGGAGAGTGGAAGGGAGGGAGAGAGAGGAGAGTGGAAGGGAGGGAGAGAGAGGAGAGTGGAAGGAGGGAGAGAGAGGAGAGTGGAAGGGAGGGAGAGAGGGGAGAGTGGAAGGGAGGGAGAGAGAGGAAAGTGGAAGGGAGGGAGAGAGGGGAGGGAGGAAAAAGAGAGAGTATTCCTATAGTGGCTATTTTATTGTGATCTAGCACCACGTTTGTCTTAACTCTGTTGTATTGACTGATCAATTTGAATGTTAGCTAAGTGACATAGCTAGTCCATTACTTAATGTGTGTATAGCCATTACTGTAGCTGCAAATGAAGACGACTAAGTTCTATATTGTACATTCAGGTAGTGACTCCTTGCTCTCTCAGTGATAATGTGATCTTTTTTCGTGTATATATACGCAGGAAACCATATCCAAGCTAGTCCCACGGCCTCTCTATGAGAAGTACACCAGTCTTAATCTCAGCAACTTTGTCGACACCTACTCGGCCGTCAAATGGTGTCCCTACCCGAACTGTGGTAGTGCCGTCAGCGTCAAGAGGGAGGAGGGGGGAGGGGGCAGAGAGAGTCGTAGAGGTCAAAGTCCACCTGCTGCCGTGGCGACCGAGGAGGGGATTTGTCTCGGGTTCAATGTAGAGTGCTGCAACGGACACGGGTTCTGCTGGTGAGGACTATCTAGAGTGGCTCTATATACATAGCTCAAAAACGAGCATTGTTGAATAACAGCGGCATGGGGCAATGTGGGGTGAAATAATATCATTAGAGCAGGGTGAAATGAGTGACCACATACATAGAGACCAGAGCTGGGTGAAATAGTAAAATGAATGACCACATAGAGGTCTGTATGCCTCGTGGCAGTGGGGTGAGGCTGCTTTGAGTGTGCCAGGCCTCTAGTGGTGGGACATGTACCAGCTACCTCCAGGGCGGGGGCTAGAAGTGACTGGCAGTTCCCAGTCTACAGTGGCCAACTCAGTCTTTTAGTGAGTTGAGTCAATGTGAGGATACACTTGTGGTTTTATACACTAAAACAAGGCAATTTGTAAAACTCATGAATACGTTTCATTGTAGACAAGAACACAGTATGTATGTTGCAGTGCAACAGATATCCCTAGGCCAATGACATGTATGAACCCTGCTTGCATATGTAGGATTGTATAGGCTGATACAATCCCCCAGTACCTAGCTTCATACATATTAGGTTGCCTAGGGATATCCAACAAACACACATACATGGTGATGATGGGTGTACATAGCTCAATGGTGGATACCACTGAGTTTTTTGCCTCAAAGAAGGCGGTAAGGTTAAACATTATAATCTGGAGTGTGGTTCTTACAAAAATTCAACACTTCAACAATTTGTAATTCAACAAACAAAAAAGCGGACCAACGGTGATGCGCCTAGGGAGTGGGACACGCGGAAACGAAACATCTGCACCAGACCTGGCCTCTGGCCAGATGAGCCGCTGCGAGATGTGATCGAGCTCCAAGAGAGTGGATCATCAGGTGACAGGCCTAGGGAGTGTGACACGCCACAAAATGAAACATGAGACGCGCACGCGTAAGTAAAAGCATGCGCAGTACCACTAATTGATGGGCTGGGTTTAGTTAGTTTTAGCTGTTACTCGTGTGGTCTCTAGCCAGCTCGCGCTGAGTCTGACGCGGGCTAACTACACTACTAGATAGCATGCGAGATGCGGTACACGCTCTGCGTTGCATCTTCTGGTGCCTCCGAGGTACGCAAAGCACGCGGATTGATCAGACTCCATCCCGTCCGTTGTGTATTTATTTGCATATTGGCTTTTTCGCGCTCTAGCTCTGCAACTGAGCAGAGAAAACCGCACATAATTCCTGACCTTCATTGCCCGTTAAGTAGGTCGTATCCGATCCGATCCGATCGATCCGAACGACACTACGCAGAGCGACTATATACAGTAACCCTCGCTGCGCATGCACACCGAGGGTCAAAAAGCGGACCCACAGGCGACGCGGCCTAGGGAGAGACACCCCAGGCCACATCACCCGCGCTCCGGCGAACTCCGCAACCACCGGTACGTCGCGGAGTTCCCAACCAGTAGCCCGTGAATGCTTCATTTGTCGAGTTGAGATGAGGCGTACGCAACAGTTGTGGTTTGGTTTGGTGCACAATGGCCATGAATATGTTCACACGTACCAGCTGCTGGGATCTGGGAACGAAATCAGCACTTTAAAAGATTTAGATCTTGAAGCAGGGGAGCTGGAGGGGAAGTGGAAACCTCATTTTTTGGTTTAAATGTTAGAGCTCAGCAACGCTGGGGGTCAGGGGACATGCATTTTTGAAAACTGAATGACGGTGCTCTGAGGCACCGTGGCAGGCAGCATTTAGAGTTGTTCTACGTTCTCTTGGGGAATTTACACAGCGTGTGGCTGTTGTTGCAGGCATTGTGTGAAGGAGCCTCACGAGCCGTGTGACTGTAAACTGTGGCAAAGATGGACTGAGCTGATCAGCACTAATGGAGATGGTAGGCTAGACAGACTCTGGGTTCGTTCTCCCACTCCCTCTCCTCTCTTGCCCCCATCCTGTCTCCCTCCCCCTCTCTCCTCTCTCCCTCTTCTCTCTTCCCCCCTCCCTGTCCCGCCCGACTTCCTTCTCTCTTCACCCCCCACCCTCTCTCCCTCTCTCCATCCTCTCC